GCCACGTGTTGTAGGCTTGGGGGCTGCAAGGTGGCCAGGAGACGGCAGTACAGCGGTCGCCAGGTATGCGAGAGGTCGTGGGTTCGAGCCCCACCCTGACGCCTGTTCGTTTGACATTTGCGTGTCTCTCTCCCCGTGGTTGCGTGGATTTTTCTCCGGGTCCTCTGTTTTTTTTTTCCCCTCCACGTTGAGAATCGACGTACGTTTCGAGTATTTTGGGCTATCGTTTGTGGTAGCCGGGTCGTTTCTGAATAAGAGCTACATATAGCTGAGTGGGGGTGCTTACCTGGTAAAATAAAAATGTCGTGGTTCGGTGTGTTTTTAAATCTCTATGAGTGCGGAACTTTGGGTGTTGGCCCCGCTTTGTGTGCGTGGTGGCCTTCATCTGAGTCCCCGCGGTTCCCCTGCCGCGTTTAAAACCGAACACTCGCCGATGGAATTGGCCAAACGTCCCGATGTAGCGGCGCCCTCCTTCGACGAAGGGCCCTAGACTCGGTGCGAGGCTTTCCTGAATGAAAGGCGTCATTAATTAGGGCAGCCTGTAAAGGTACCTACCGTACCATTATTGATCAATCGTAGTTTGACCGCGATGCTGGAATGTCGTACGGAAAAATAATTCCGGCGCGACTTTGCGTTCGCGTGGCATCTGAAGGCGATCGTATCTCTCACGCCTCGCGAGGCAAAACGGTTTGGCATGTTCATTTGGTGGAGAGGGGCAGCCGCTGTGAGGCAGAGGCAAAAAAAAATAGGGATAGGTCTTGAGGCCTGGACAGAACAGGTGCAGGGAGTCGATAGCACGGATGGCTGGATAAAGGAAGTTCCATCTCACCTGGCATCAGACAATTGTGAGGACAATCTGTCTCATTCACGTAATCAATTATTACATAAAATCATTGCTGACACCACCCATCGGCCGCACGGCCTTCTGGGGAGTGCGTCATTTCAGCGGCGTTGTTTCAGGACGAGCAAACCCCGGACCGGTTTAGACGTCTCATCAGTCAGGCGTGCTTTTCTCGTGTGCAGCCAAGCACGGCTTGGCTGCACACGTTACAGTATTATCGCTTTGTCTAACCCTGACGTTTCCCACATGAATACGCTTCGATATAGGATTGCTAGGTAATAACCACATGAATACGCTTCGATATAAGAATCCTAGGCAATAACCACATGAATACACTTCGATATAGGAATGCTAGGCAATAACCACATGAATACGCTTCGATATAGGAATGCTAGGCAATAACCACATGAATAGGCTTCGATATAGGAATGCTAGGCAATAACCACATGAATACACTTCGATATAGGAATGCTAGGCAATAACCACATGAATACGCTTCAATATAAGAATGCTAGGCAATAACCACATGAATACGCTTCGATATAGGAATGCTAGGCAATAACCACATGAATAGGCTTCGATATAAGAATGCTAGGCAATAACCACATGAATACACTTCGATATAAGAATGCTAGGCAATAACCACATGAATACACTTCGATATAGGAATGCTAGGCAATAACCACATGAATAGGCTTCGATATAGGAATGCTAGGCAATAACCACATTAATACACTTCGATATAGGAATGCTAGGCAATAACCACATGAATACGCTTCAATATAAGAATGCTAGGCAATAACCACATGAATACGCTTCGATATAGGAATGCTAGGCAATAACCACATGAATAGGCTTCGATATAAGAATGCTAGGCAATAACCACATGAATACACTTCAATATAAGAATGCTAGGCAATAACCACATGAATACACTTCGATATAGGAATGCTAGGCAATAACCACATGAATAGGCTTCGATATAAGAATGCTAGGCAATAACCACATGAATACACTTCGATATAAGAATGCTAGGCAAATAACCACATGAATACGCTTCAATATAAGAATGCTAGGCAATAACCACATGAATACGCTTCAATATAAGAATGCTAGGCAATAACCACATGAATACGCTTCAAAATAAGAATGCTAGGCAATAACCACATGAATACGCTTCAATATAAGAATTCTAGGCAATAACCACATGAATACGCTTCACTATAAGAATGCTAGGCAATAACCACATGAATACACTTCGATATAAGAATGCTAGGCAATAACCACATGAATACACTTCGATATAAGAATGCTAGGCAATAACCACATAAATACGCTTCAATATAAGAATGCTAGGCAATAACCACATGAATACACTTCGATATAAGAATGCTAGGCAATACCCACATGAATACACTTCGATATAAGAATGCTAGGCAATAACCACATGAATACACTTCGATATAAGAATGCTAGGCAATAACCACATGAATACGCTTCAATATAAGAATGCTAGGCAATAACCACATGAATACACTTCGATATAAGAATGCTAGGCAATAACCACATGAATACACTTCGATATAAGAATGCTAGGCAATGGCGAGACGTTAATTATTCAAGCACAACCCGACACGGGGAGGGGGGGGGGGTTGACCCGACCGTTGTGACAACGGTCGGGTCACAGGACGAGCGTCACGGGTGAGAGAGTCACGGGAGAGAGAGTCACGGGAGAGAGAGTCACGGGAGAGAGAGTCACGGGTGAGAGAGTCACGGGAGAGAGAGTCACGGGAGAGAGAGTCACGGGTGAGAGAGTCACGGGTGAGAGAGTCACGGGTGAGAGAGTCACGGGAGAGAGAGTCACGGGAGAGAGAGTCACGGGTGAGAGAGTCACGGGTGAGAGAGTCACGGGAGAGAGAGTCACGGGAGAGAGAGTCACGGGTGAGAGAGTCACGGGTGAGAGAGTCACGGGAGAGAGAGTCACGGGTGAGAGAGTCACGGGTGAGAGAGTCACGGGAGAGAGAGTCACGGGTGAGAGAGTCACGGGTGAGAGAGTCACGGGAGAGAGAGTCACGGGTGAGAGAGTCACGGGTGAGAGAGTCACGGGTGAGAGAGTCACGGGTGAGAGAGTCACGGGAGAGAGAGTCACGGGAGAGAGAGTCACGGGTGAGAGAGTCACGGGTGAGAGAGTCACGGGTGAGAGAGTCACGGGAGAGAGAGTCACGGGAGAGAGAGTCACGGGAGAGAGAGTCACGGGTGAGAGAGTCACGGGTGAGAGAGTCACGGGTGAGAGAGTCACGGGAGAGAGAGTCACGGGTTGAGAGCGTCACGGGAGAGAGAGTCACGGGAGAGAGAGTCACGGGTGAGAGAGTCACGGGTGAGAGAGTCACGGGTGAGAGCGTCACGGGAGAGAGAGTCACGGGAGAGAGAGTCACGGGTGAGAGAGTCACCCACCGTCCGCTTCAGCGCGATCCCCATCGCGGGGGTCACGTTTCTCGTGAAATGTTAACGCGGGGCTCCTCGTGTTCGCTTCTCCGCTTTTGTACGTTCCTGATGATCTGAGGCGGCCGGCCCCCTTCCGAAGCGTCAACCGTCGTGCGTTGGTTGCGCACGCGTCCTCAAGAAGTGCCCCCCCCCCCCCCCCCATTCACGTCGCGTGGGGGGGAGGGTGAAGCGGGGGGGAATGCGGGAGGGCTTCTCATCCAGCAGTGTATTAACGAAAGGTGCTGCAATTGTACAGAACGTTAGGGGCACTCGGTGGGTCCACACCCCCCCCCTGCCCCCCCCCCCCCCCCACTGCCACCCCCCTCCCAACCCACACCCTGAGTCGAATCGATTGGAGGTTTTTGCTTCTTGAATGGAACCGTGAGCTCGAAACGGTGACTCGTCATCGGGCAGCGGCGTAATGATCGCGCGAGCGATTCCCCCTGCGCGCTTGCGGATCCGGTGGCCATGGAGTGAGTGCAGTGAGCAGCCTCAATGGGGGGAGCGGGGGTGGGGGGGAATGAAAGGTTGAGTCGCGAGGGAGCGGCTGTGACTCAGGTGCGGCGTCGCGGTGGCGAGTTGTTAACTAACTTCGCCTGGTATACTGGAGGACGTGGGTTTGATCCCGACCGAACTGTATTGCATAAGAGAGTGGGAGAGAGAGAAAAAAAACGCGAACATTAAAACCTAATCACAGATTCGTAGGTGCTGCTGACAGGTTGTTGGCAGAAGCGACGACCTGCTGAGCCACGATTTTAAATCAACGTGATTCACCGCTTAGGGCGACTGATTTGCAAAGCTCTCTGGTGTTTGCTGATGGTTTCTAGACGTGGAGTGGAAGCAGATGTGTGCATGCGTGTGTTCCTTGCGTGTGTTCCGTGCGTGTGTTCCGTGCACGTGTTCCGTGCGCGTGTTCCGTGCGCGTGTTTCGTGCGCGTGTTCCGTGCGTGTGTTCCGTGCGTGTGTTCCATGCACGTGTTCTGTGCGTGTGTTCCGTGCGCGTGTTTCGTGCGTGCGTTCCGTGCGTGTGTTCCTTGCACGTGTTCTGTGCGTGTGTTCCGTGCGCGTGTTTCGTGCGTGCGTTTCGTGCGTGTGTTCCGTGCACGTGTTCCGTGCGCGTGTTTCGTGCGCGTGTTCCGTGCGTGTGTTCCGTGCGTGTGTTCCTTGCACGTGTTCCGTGCACGTGTTCTGTGCGTGTGTTCCGTGCGCGTGTTTCGTGCGCGTGTTCCGTGCGTGTGTTCCGTGCGTGTGTTCCTTGCACGTGTTCTGTGCGTGTGTTCCGTGCGCGTGTTTCGTGCGTGCGTTTCGTGCGCACGTTAGTAGCACGGCGGTCGGAGCACTCCGCTACGAACCTCGGCCACCTGAGTTCGATTCCCGCTCGCAGCCAACACCGGCGACGAATATATTGAAGCAGTTCTGGGCCTCCCCTCGGTTGACTCGGCCTCAAATGAGTGTAAAACGTCGCCACTGGGGAGACAGAGGCAGCCGGGCGTGGTGCTGGCTACCCACCCCCGTCGTGTTCCGTGCCGGCCTTCATAGGTGCTCGCTAACGGCACTTGCCGCAACAGCCTCGTATGCCTATACAGGGTGGGGGGGGGGGGGGAATCTTCGTCTTAATCTTTTCACGCGGTCTCACCCCCCACCCCCCACCCCGATGTGATCGTGCCGTTGGCAGGACGTCGGGGCCGTTGATGAGCTTCGGGGCGAGTTTCGTCAGTTTCCTGGTAGGTGGCGGTTTCCTCGTAGTGCGGGCGTTCTCACTCCTGACCCGTGAGCCCACACGTGTGTCTCAGACACACTATAACACACACACGTGTGTCTCAGCCACACTATAACACACACACGTGTGTCTCAGCCACATGATAACCCACACACGTGTGTCTCAGCCACACTATAACCCACACACGTGTGTCTCAGCCACATGATAACCCACACACGTGTGTCTCAGCCACACTATAACACACACACGTGTGTCTCAGCCACACTATAACACACACACGTGTGTCTCAGCTACACTATAACCCACACACGTGTGTCTCAGCCACATGATAACCCACACACGTGTGTCTCAGCCACATGATAACCCACACACGTGTGTCTCAGCCACACTATAACACACACACGTGTGTCTCAGCCACATGATAACCCACACACGTGTGTCTCAGCCACATGATAACCCACACACGTGTGTCTCAGCCACATGATAACCCACACACACGTGTGTCTCAGACACACTATAACACACACACGTGTGTCTCAGCCACACTATAGCCCACACGTGTGTCTCAGCCACACTAACACACACACGTGTGTCTCAGCTACACTATAGCCCACACACGTGTGTCTCAGCCACACTATAACACACACACGTGTGTCTCAAACACACTATAACACACACACGTGTGTCTCAGCCACACTATAACCCACACACGTGTGTCTCAGACACACTATAACACACACACACGTGTGTCTCAGCCACACTATAACACACACACGTGTGTCTCAAACACACTATAACACACACACACACGTGTGTCTCAGCCACACTATAACCCACACACGTGTGTCTCAGCCACACTATAACACACACACGTGTGTCTCAGACACACTATAACACACACACGTGTGTCTCAGCCACACTATAACACACACACGTGTGTCTCAGCTACACTATAACCCACACACGTGTGTCTCAGCCACACTATAGCCCACACACGTGTGTCTCAGACACACTATAACACACACACGTGTGTCTCAGCCACACTATAACCCACACACGTGTGTCTCAGCCACATGATAACCCACACACGTGTGTCTCAGCTACACTATAACCCACACACGTGTGTCTCAGACACACTATAACCCACACACGTGTGTCTCAGACACACTATAACACACACACGTGTGTCTCAGACACACTATAACCCACACACGTGTGTCTCAGACACACTATAACCCACACACGTGTGTCTCAGCTACACTATAGCCCACACACGTGTGTCTCAGCCACATGATAACCCACACACGTGTGTCTCAGACACACTATAACCCACACACGTGTGTCTCAGACACACTATAACACACACACGTGTGTCTCAGCCACACTATAACACACACACGTGTGTTTCAGCCACACTATAACCCACACACGTGTGTCTCAGCTACACTATAGCCCACACACACGTGTGTCTCAGACACACTATAGCCCACACACGTGTGTCTCAGCCACATGATAACCCACACACACGTGTGTCTCAGCCACACTATAACACACACACGTGTGTCTCAGCCACACTATAACACACACACGTGTGTCTCAGCCACACTATAACCCACACACGTGCGTCTCAGCCACACTATAACCCACACACGTGCGTCTCAGCCACACTATAACACACACACGTGCGTCTCAGCCACACTATAACACACACACGTGTGTCTCAGCCGCACTATAACACACACACGTGTGTCTCAGACACACTATAAGCCACACACGTGTGTCTCAGCCACACTATAACACACACACGTGTGTCTCAGCCACATGATAACCCACACACGTGTGTCTCAAACACACTATAACACACACACGTGTGTCTCAGCCACACTATAACACACACACGTGTGTCTCAGCCACACTATAACACACACACGTGTGTCTCAGCCACACTATAACCCACACACGTGTGTCTCAGCCACATGATAACCCACACACGTGTGTCTCAGCCACACTATAACACACACACGTGTGTCTCAGCCACACTATACCCCACACACGTGTGTCTGTATGGGGAGCGGTGGCGCAATGGTTAGCGCACTGCGCTATATCTGAACCCAATCCCAGGGCCTCCCCCTAAATCAACCTTACATGAGTACCCGGTGCGCCGTGTAGACTTGGGAGACAAAGGCAGCCGGGCGTGGTGCTGCTGCTCACCCACCCCCTGTCGTGTGCCGAGCCGGCCTCCACAGATAGGTTCTGCTCACTAACAGCACTGCTAAAAAGGCTACACGAAGGATCTGTGTTCGTTTCTTGTGTACGTACGCGTATGCATGCGTGTGTGTCCCCCTCCGCCCCCCCCCCCGTCCCACCCCGTCCCCCCCCCCCCGCCCACCGACACCCCCTGCACGTGGGTGTCACCCCCAGCAAGCGCTCATGACGTTCGAGGAGGAGAAGCTGC